GAGAGGGAGCGCCGACAACCGTGAAGCCTCTGGGTTGAGCAACCTGAGGGCTTTGGTGCATTTCTAAGCCCGTGAGTCCTGCCGCATCCTCTAGGCCAAAGCCGGTAAACCAAGATCAGAGACAAGCAAGTCCCTGGCAGAAGCTGGAAGAGCAGTGGTTTCACACGAGGCTGACATGTCGAGGGACTGACTGACCTCAAGGCTGCAGATCTGTTCTACGAGTACGGCGGGACTGTGGCACCTGGCGGAGACTGTGCTGTTGTCATTTCGTTTCTGTTTTCTCGCTTTATTTGTATTGCTGCTACGCCCCAACAAAGCCCAGAGCTCCGCAGTGCTGTACCCGGAGGCGCGGCCGGCAGACGATGCCCGGACAGCCTCACGGGAGGGTTGGCCAGGTCAGCCGCGGCTCTGCCCGGCCAAGCCTTGCAAGCCTCCGACGCTGGAGATCCCCCTGGCTCCCTGGGGGTCTCTTCCAGGGCTGCGCTGTCCTCCTACTGAAAATCACCTTCCTGAGGTCCAAACTGAGCCTAATTAAACAGATTCTGAGCGCGGAATCATCTGCAGGGTCAGAGTTGTGCAATCGTTGATCAAAACGGCGTGTTTGCGCATACCTCTGCTTGGCTCAACTGAACGGCTTGGCTGAGCCGTGACCCAGGGACGCGCGACATCGTGCTCGACAGCCAGGATCATCCACCCAGCGCCACACAGAGCTGGCGCTTGTTACGGTAGCAGGAGGGCTGAAGAGGGAGAAGGGGCGTAGTTAAAGCCTTATCCCCCCCATGCCTCCGAGCGGGCGCTGAACGCACGTGCCGCACCTCGGCCGCCGTGCACCTGACCCTGCCGGGGCTCGGCTCGCGATGGCTGCGGCGCTGCACGGTGACTCAAGTTTCTCATAACAGTCCGCAGAGCAAAAGCCCTGGCTGCTTCTAGGTTTTCCTGTCCTCAAGCTGCTGCTGCTGCTGCTCTTTTTTTTCCTTCCTCCCCTCGCCCCGCTCACGGAGCGGTGCGGTTTAAGGGATTTACGTTCCTCCCCCCACCCCCGTTGCCAAAGGGCAACCGACTTGCTTCACCTCAGCATCAAGATGCAGGAGAGGAGCAGGGGATATGTGGCTCTCAGCAGCTTAATACAAAGTCTGACTTTTCAGAGCAAAGCTCAATGCTGCTGAAAAATAAGGGGGCAAATGCTGATGCTTAAGCAGAACTGGCAAGGTCTGGGTATCTCAGCACATTCACCATATGTGGTATTTCTTGCCCATGAGAGAAAGCGACCAATGTGTGTTTTGGGAGAAGGCTACTGCTCACCTTCTTTTGAGGCTGTGCTGAGCCCAGACCGCTCCTTGGGCTTCAGGGATTGCTTCCACCGTGGTGCATCTCAGCAGGGACCTGGAGGCCACCTTCTCGGGGCTGTGGAGGAGGCAGCTGCAACCCAGAGAGACAGAGATGGAGCAGGGAGTGCAGGAAGCCAGCAGGCTGTAGGTACTTGCAAAACAGGGGGGTAATAGAGCTGTGCCTGGGACATGGGCTGGTGTCTGTGGGCTTGGGATTCCCTATCCCATGTGAATATACTAAATAGCTCAGGGGTCAATCAGGCGTCGCACGATGGAGACAAAACCGCAAACGCTGAGGGAGTTTTAATTCCCTCTAGCATGTGCGCGTGGACTTTCCAGATGTCTCAAGTGGTTTTGGCATCCCTTAGAGGCACAGAGGAAAGGATGGTTTCAGTCTGTCTCTACGCGCTGCAATTCCTCACCAGGTCTGAGGCGGGTGGATGGCATGTAAACTTTAACCGTTAAGATCTTAACCCTGTAACAGCTGGGACACAAGAGCCATCCTGCACCCACAAGGATGCTCCAGAAATCAGGAAAGGTCAGTGTGGTGCCGAGCTGTGCCCGCAGAGATGCAGGACGTGGAGCTTGTTTTGCTTTGTGTTTTTATCAGAGGTACGCCTAGGGCTCTGCTGGGCTGTGCAGGAGGCTGTTCCGGCTGCAACACAAGACTGCTCACAAATGTTGCTGTCTGCTGGTTTTGTTTTTATTGAGGTTATTCCACGTTCATCATCGGGGAGTCAGTCATTAATGCAGCCCTGCTGACTCCCATTGTCCTGGCAAGCAAAGGGCATTGATATCTTCAGTAAATAAAAGCCACTGATGATCCATTCAGAGGTTTTGGTAACACTGCCTTGGCCTTCTTCCCGATCAGGCTTACATGCTGCAGCAAAGGCAAGGTCCCAACGCAGTCTTTGAACTTATCCTTATACATGTTTTAAAGCAGCAGATGACTCAGCAGAGGCAGGAGTCTATTTTTATCTCCTCTCTAGCTTTCTATGTCAAGCTGAAATTTCATAGTAATCCTTTCAGTGCTGTTCCCCAAATAATGTTGCCCTACGACTAGGAAGCCATTCACACCAGAGGACCCTGATCTCTCTGAACTTTAATGCCAAAACCCGGCGCAGCTGTCCCCCACAACGGAGGGCACGTTTTGGCCGCGGTCACCAAGATAAACATTGCGTCCAGGAAACTATACTGTGGGGTCTGACCACCAGTCTCGTTCAAAGGAACCGCACGGCGCTGTGTTTATACACCTGAGAAAGCCAGCCTTGAACCTGCGGTGCGGCTTCACATCTTCGGCAATAATAAGAGCCGAGCGATGGCGTGATCCAGCTCCTGTTGGATCAAAATCCTGCCACTCAGGAAACTCCCTATGTAACCCTAAATTCACCTATGGAAAAATCTTTGACACAGGAAAGAAATTTTTAAAATATATATTTTGACCGAAGAACATATCCATACGCTTTGATTTAATTGGGATTAAGGGACAAAAAGATTCAA